ATAGCTTTGGTGCGCCCAGAGCTCTCCTATACCTTTGTATTGCAGAGGAGCTACTGTGCAAGTACAACTTTTAACGAGAGTCCGTAAGCAAACATTTTTGCACCCTAGGGCGGAAATACACCTACAATCCGACTAAAAATTAAATACGGCTTTACTCATCATTAAAGATTAAATATTTATCTTCCACATCTAAAGTATATATATTTTTTTTAGATATTTCGAAATATTTACATTTACATTCTTAATTAAGGTAATTGGGCTGATGGGGTGGCGCCCTAGCGCCCTCTCTTGGCCAGATGCCACTGGTCATGTGCTAGGTCATGTCAGTAAAACCGACATGACCTAGCACTCAAGTACTGAATAATTAATCATAAAATCTGACTAATATTTATGTAATCTGACTTATATGTAATTAGACAGAAATTTAAAGTTTTGTAAATTGTAAGGTATTTTAAAGAGTGTAATACAAAAATATAAAAAAATAACATAATTATAAAAATGCATGAGGAAACACATTTTTTTTCAACATAAAACCAGTATTAACAGCTGATAATTTATGTAAAATACAATTCCAAAAGTATTAATTTATCTTCATCTAAGCCAAATTTGACTCTCGCAAGAGCAAATTACCCTACTCTGTAAAACATTTAAATGTATTGTTACATTTTAAGGTTTGCAAGAAGATGAATAGTTGAACTAAAGAAAAACTTCAATCACCCACTCCAGTTCATCCTAAAGGTGTTTTATAAGGCTTAGGCCAGGACTCTGTGCAAACCATGCTTTTCATGTTTATCTACACCAAACTTTATCCACCTTCAGCCATGAGAGTGAACGGTAAACCTGAATCTATTGATCTGGTGGTGTGAAGCAATCCTTTTAGAAATATAGCACATGTTAGAAAGGAGAAAAGTATATTTAAATTCAACTGTTTACTGTATGTTTACTGGATCAAGAGATTGGTTCAACGAGGTCTGCAGAAGAAAATAACATTAAAACAACAACGCTTGTGTACAAACAGGAGCTCTTACTTTAACATAAAATGTTTGTGTATTTTCTTGTATTTGAATTGTGGGGCCCATTTTCTGGAAAATTGCACATTGTGGGGACTGACTGCTCCTTGTGGGGCCCGATGCCTGGACCCCACTGGGGGAATAGCTGAATAGTGCAATAGTCAGATTTAGACTGATTTCTGAACTGAGTTTAGGTTGGGAATAGGTATGAACTCATGGTTAAGTTTAGAGTAAGGGTCACAGTTAGGCAGTAGAAATGAATGGAACATAACGGAAAGGCCCCAAAAAGGTAAAAAGACAAGGTTGTGCATGTGTGTGTGTGGCCATGTATTATTTTAGCTACCAACGATAATTTCCTAGATATATGCTGTTTTGGGGAATAATAGGTACTAACAGTGAGTTGGGAGTTTGTTTTTTGGTCATAGATGTGAATTTTTAGGTTAGGTTTAGGGTTAGGCATGTGTTGGTTATGGTTAGGGTGAGGGTAAAGATCTGTTAGTCCATAGAATGAAATGCAATGTGAATGGAAGTCAATGGATAGTCCCCACAAGGATAGTGTGACACACCATGTGTGTGCTTAGCTCATGCATGTTGGCCAAAAGAAGAAAAGGTATAACAATGTAAAGGAAAATTTATAGTGCAGTAAAATACTTTTTGAAGTACATCTTCTTGTCATGATCTGGGAGCTGATAGTTTGGTTTTTTCCTTTGCTCCTTGCTCCCCTGTCTCATTGGTTCTGCGGCTGATTATCGCCGATCATTTCAACCTGGTTCCTCTACTATATAAGTTGTTTGCCTCCCATCAGCGCCAGGTTATTTGTGTGTTTTTGTGAGACGTTCCCTAGCAATCTGTAGTCTGTCTGTTTTCCTGATTTTGACCAGTTTCTGCCCTGAGGATCTCGAGTTTTGCCTTGCCCCTGTCTGCTCTGTTTGTCTGATCTGATCCTGGATTCTACCAGCTTCTGAACCTGGAACTGTCTTCTGACTTCGGCCTTGGATTTCCCTTCTGGACTCTGTTGCTGCTCGGCTAATGCTGGCGCCTGCTCCGCTCGCTCTCTAGGAACTACCGGGGCGTCGCCCGCCGCATCTGCGGTCAAACCTCCCTTCTGGACTCTGCTGTGTTCTCCGCCAACGGACTGAACTTTAATCAGAGATCCGCCCCGCAGCAGACGAGCAGCCCCGCCCACCTGTATGTTAAATAAACGCTTTGAACTTTCCCACTGCCTGTCTCGCCTTGAATTCTGGGTCCAATATTCTGAGATCATTACACTTCTTGAACTTACTCAAGTAAATGAGTATCTGGAAACATGCTTAGTATAGACACTTTACTTGTTTACATGCACGCTTATGTTGTTTAAGAAACAATTGGAATGTTGTAGATGAAATGATTGAAAAAAAAAGAAATGTTTTACCAATCTGTTATGGTTTTACTTTGGGCCAGCCCATGTGAACTGCAGCAGAGGTTTTGTGTTTTTAGAGAACAGGAAAGAGACATGGTGACCCCGTCTCCTGTTGTAGTTGTTGCTTCAAGCTCTGGCACATTCTGTGTATTACCTTATTTGAAGGGTATGAGCTTCTGTTCAGACAAACCGTTTCAACAAGGTATTTTCATCCACAATACTAACTACTATTGTAAATCATTACCAGGACAAATTAATATAAATTAGTGCACCTATGCAAAGATGTGTCAATTCACCAGCAGTAAGAATGGAAGTGAAAATCCGTTAAAGCTGTGATATTAATGTAAAAGGACCAAGTGAACAAATTCTCCTTTAAAGATTATGTTTCTCTTCTATATTATTTTTTCACGTGGCAAATGAGCAGCAAAGCAACACAATCTGGAAAATATCAAACTAAAACAAAAATGAAATGTGAAAATCAAAGTTATTTCAGAAAACGTGTCTGAATGATTTAAAGCAGACATCCATAAGACCTTTCAGGGTGTTACTCTGTTACCTTCTTACTGCAAACCTGTCTCAATAGAGCAACAGGTGCTTCTGTACATCTCAGTTAAAACATGCGATAACAACAAAAGAAAAATGTTGCTTATATTAGTTTTGGTAACACTGCTTTAGTTTTAAAGATCTTGACAATTTTCTTACAGGTCTTTAGGGTAACTGGACTTCCTTTAAAGGGTTAATTATTTCATGGTTCCTCTTTCAGGTTCTGATATCTCCTTATGGAAACACAACTGTTAGCTTTATTAACTGTTGATTCTGTTACTTTCTTGGAAGATGTTACAGGGCTACTGTACAGGAACCCACTTCTATTAATAACAAAAACAAAAAAATATATATATATGGATTAAAAAACACTATTTAGAAGTAATGTGATATTCACTTCGTATTTTGGAGTAAAGTTTAGAGATGATGATTTGTAATAAATGCATCCTTCTTCTCAAACCAAGCCCTCCATTTTCTTCAGACCGGTGAATCTCCATCAAAGCCTGCATGCAGTCATTGTAGCACATTGCATAAAAGCAAGCACTGAAAGCCGAGTGCTGATTGTTTGTTCCATTCTCAGAGATAACAACAGCCATTAAAGCTTTTGTGATGATGGGCACTGACTCTAAAGGATCACTGTGGGTCATTTTGGCTTCACTGTTTGGCAGGACACATCACGGTTTGTTTTGGGTTTTCTTCAAAAAGGAATTACCTTCTCAAAATAGGCATTAAATCTATTAAAGTCCACATGATGACAAGGGCACTTTAAAACCGTCGTTTTAATAGGTTTGATGTTTCAAATGCTTCATTAGTCTTTTTGTCCCAATGACACCTTTCAAAAAGTTAACCAGAAAATCTTCCTCCAAATCTGTTTGGTTCGGGCAGGAAGGATCTCCTGTAGCAGTCTGTCTTACAGCTGAACTGAAGAACCTCTGACCAAACACTGTTTAATTAAGAAAGACCACAATGATCTTATTTATAAGGAATCCTTTCTTAGAGGTTTTACAGGAGTTCCCAGAAAAGTATTCTTAATCAGCTTGTTGAGTATTTTTTAAGTTGTAAAGTTTATTAAGATCTTATAAACAGCTCTGTTCTTGTTTCAAGACTGGTGGATAACATTGACTTTGTTTCTCATATTTTCTTGAATTTCGTTAGATCTGGGCATTTTGGTTTTCCAGATTTTTTTTTACCTGCTGCCTGGTTATTATGGTTTCACAGGTTCTAAGTAAACATTTAGAAGTGATAAGCCCTGAGTGTGAATGGATGAATTGAACGAAAAAGGGGAGAAAATATGTTTTCAAATAGAACCAGGTTAGTTTTGAATGGTTCATTCCCTATAATGACAAAAATCGTTTAAAAAAAACTGTATGTTGTTTACTTCAGTCATTACTGCTGTGTTTGGTTATTTTTTTAAATGATATTAAAGTATTACAAAACAAAAAGAGAAGATATGTGTGTTTTTACAGCACTGCAACTCTGAATGGTTGGTTTAAGGTTTTATATTAACATTATCACTAACTCAAACAACTTTTTTAGTTGAAAGAATTGTATTATTTGTAGAAGTTGTTGGGAAAAAAAAAACAGAATATTTTGTTTCCGTAAAACCAAATAATGTCATGCTTTTCTACCATGTTGGGACAACTAAAGTAAACAATAAAGCAGAAGAAAATACAAAGAGATGAAATTGAAACAAGGCAGAAAGCAAACAGATATCGGCTTTTCCATCGGTGCTGTTGCTCCATCTACTGTAGGTGTGTGTCTGGAGGGTCCTAATTGCTGCTGAGGTCAGGCTGCAGAGCAGTAGAGGGCTTGTGTTTGATGCAGGTACGACTGTGCATGCATGAATGTGTGTGACTGCTCTGCATGCCCTTGACTTGCAGCTGGCAAACAACGCTTTAGGCCCCCCACAGCTGCCTCATCATTACTGTTCACAGGGATCCCCCGCCACACACACAAACACGCACAGGCTCACGCAGAGTGAGACTTAGTCACAGCTACACAGGCACAGACACAAACAGGCACATGCAGACATACACAGAGACACTCACCCCTTCCCGCAGGCTCCTCATTAAGCCAGTGTAGGCGGCAGCAGGAATGAACCACAGTCCCTCTGGGGAGCCTCTCTTCTCCTCCTGATAGAGAGTCATAGAAAAGACAGGGAGGACGGGTGAGAGGGGAGGGTGTACATTTGGGGGTGGGGGGCAGCGGAGGAGCAGAGTGGAAATGAGAGAAAGGCAGATAGATAAAGTGAAGGAGATACAAGTGGAGACGAGTAAGGAAAAGGGCACGAATGGGCCAAGGCAGGGAAGGGAATAGGGAGTGAAAGGAGTTAAGACATCTTGATTACATGGTTTATGATCCCTATGAGCATCATGCTTCATAGCTGCATCTTATTTAGAGGGCTAATCACATATCACTTTGGACAAATGTTTGTTTTCCCTTTTTAAAGAGTTATAAATCCTTTTAAGTTTAGATTTGAAAACGGAAACCTTTTCCAGGCTCAGATTGCCAGATTTTTCACTACAGTTTTTATGCATTTATGAATGGAGAGAAAACTGTAACCTAGTTTGGTTTGTTTGATTGTACCTTTCACAAATCATCATCAAAGCACACCCAAAAAAAAGTTTTATTTCCATTTACTTGTTTGGAAAAGAACACTGCTTTTTGTTATCTGGACTAGATCAACTCTACATAATAACAGTTCTGAAATCAGGCAGGTTTACCCTAAATTATACTCAAAGCAGTATTTATAATCCATGGTTATTCTCTTTGTGCAAATGAAAGAGAACTGTATAAATGTATTTAAACAAACAGCAACAACTTAAACATAGACAAACTGACACACTGCTACCTCCCAGCCCAATATATAGACTAGTGTACAAATCGTTGCACTATTAACGCAAACTGTTTATCAAATAATATACCAACCTGTAAATAATGTTGTTAAAAATTGATGCTGTAAAACAATACTTTATTTATCCTTTACCATGACAGAAAAGATTATTTTAAACCTATGCTAAAACCCCCAGACCAACTAACTTCATGAAGTGTCATTTTTGTCATATTTGTCTACAGTATGGGTTAGGCAAAGTTGGTCCTCGAGTGCCACTGTCAGTTGCATGCAGCTTTTGTAAGCATCTCTTCTTCAACACACCTGAAACAAATAAATGGTTAATTACCAGGCCTCTGTAAAACTAAGACTGTGTCCGAACATCCGCTCTAACCCCTATATAAAACATCATTTCGTCATATTAGTGAGTGGACTCAAAATTTACCACAATGCATCTTAAAAAGTAGTGTGCATCCATGCTCACTAGATGAGCAGATATACCCCAGAATGCTTTGCAAGAGCTCTCCTCGCAAAGCATCATGGGATTTGCTTTGGGGGCGAGAAAGAACAAAGATGGTGCAGAAACCTCACAGGGAGCTGGAGTCAGGTGACCAACAGGGAGCGAAAAGTAGTGTTCATCTGTCCAACCGGTCAATTAACTGAGTTCATTATAAAGTCCCCTCTCTATATGGTGATTGAGGGGTTTAGGGGTTACAGTGGACGTTTGTACACAGTCTTAATGTCATACCAAAGAGGTAATTTGGCCTTTTTGTTTCAGGTGGGTTGGAGCAGTGATGCATGCAAAAGCTACGAGACAGTGGCACTCAAGTACATACCAATTCACTACGTCTGGTGGAAGGGGATCAACAACATAGACATAACATATGGTGGCATTTCCTGAATCCACACTAAATGACACCTTCCAAATTCTTCTTATCTTTTTGATTTTATTTGTTATTATAGTAATTCAAGCCTGAGCCTTTCCCATACTAATATTGCTCTTCTCTTTTTTTATCCAGATTTCTAATTCTACGCTAATGAATACTAAATAAATGACCTTTGACCTTAAGGGAATGCTTATGCAGAAATTGTCTTTTCTATAGATCAGGTTTTCCTACCGTTTACTGATGCATCATAGACTAAACTGTCAAAACTACCCAATTGGAGATTCAGGAGGTAATTTATAGGTCATGTAGTTTTTTTTTTTTGGTTAATAAATATTCAATTGTAAACATGTATTTAATGAAGAGCATAATAAGTAGGACAGATTTTTCAGTCCTATAGAAGCATTGTCTCACAGCACATTAGTTTCTTATCATTTCATATATGCTTTCTAACTTTTTTAGAATGGTGCTCTCCTCTCTTCCCTCGCTGCTGTGCTTAGCTGAAGGCTACATCTAACCTTGAGGATAAAGACAGCACCGGGGGCTCTGGGTAACTTTGTCATTGACAGCTGGAGACCCAAAAAATAGATCACTTTTTTAACAAATATGAAAGCAACATTCTACATGAAATAAACATGGCTTTTCCTTGCAATGCAACATAAATCCACCTGTGATTCATAGAGCTGATCGTCTGAAGAAATCAACTCTAACTAGAACTCAGGAAGCCAGTTCACCTTAAAATGTAAAAAAGAGCTCATCATTACTACATACCAAACACAGTGCTGGGTAAATAATTTAACCCCAAGGCTAGTTAGGGCTGTTGAGAAGCAATTGGTAGTTTTAACCAAACTCTTGATCAGCAATTGTGATTCAGTTTGCTGTCTTAGAGAATAGTTCAGAATGAGCCTAAAATAAACAAAGAATCCATCTAAACTCTTCATTGGTGAACAAGAGTATGAATTTGATTTTCAAAATTTAAGGTCAATAAAACCCTATTTCGACATCAGTAATGAGTTGTGAGCTTTTGAATCAGATTCTAAAAGTAGAACTCTTTTAATTTCAAGCTAAATGATGTTCAACATCTTCAATTTAGTTTACACATGGAGAACAGGTTTACCTGAACTCTTTAAAGCTGGTTTAAAAAGTTTGTTTGTAATTTAAATCCAATAAACATAACTATTTTTTTCTTCTTTTTTTTCATTTAATGAAAAAATTATAGATTTGAGCTCAAATAAACCCAAATATTGGCTAAAAATAAAGTTATTAGATAGGTATTTTGACAGAGAGATAAAAGTTATCAAAGTGAATGTTGCTTTTTAGAAAAAAGGGATTTTCCCAAATTAGTTGTGTCACCCTTAGCAGCAAGTACTGACACTAACAGCTACAATAAAAACCAGTAGAATAGAAAAGAAGAGAAATATTCTTTATTGTCCCAAGAGACACTGGAATTTGACTTTCTCACTGATGAATTACAATCCACTCTCTTTTGCAATAAGTGTTTAGATCGAGTCACATTGGAGGATCTTTGAGAATGAAAGACATATTTAGTGTCTTACTACAGCAGGGGTTCTCAAACTTTTCCTGCTGAGCCCCCCTTTATGTTTGCGAGAAACTCCCTTCCAAATTCCTGGTCCTCACTGCCCAGACCAACCTTCAAAAAAATTGACTAACTTAGACAGATTTATTTTGTCATTTTGTTTACAACGGTGTATACAAAAAGAAATTTTGTTTAAAACAGCTCTAAACAATTTCATTTTTTTTAAAGTGCAGCCTTGAAAACAGTAATAAATACATAAAAAAGTAATATAGACATATGACTGTGTAATTACAGTTCTAATATAATTATTTTTTTCTTTTAAGACTAAGAACAGTCAACAGCAGGGAAATATTGCATTAAAATCTTATAATGAAATAGAAATACCACCTTTTAGAGTGTAATTATTCTAAGGTTAACCATTTTCTGTAAAAAGTATTATTCATAAAACTAAAATGAGACTTTATCTGATTTAATCCTAGAAGCCCCCATAGCTTGAGAGCAACTGTACTACAGCATCAAATTGTATTTCAGTTCCATAATAATAATTGTGTTTGCTATTAGATTGATGTAAAATTAGAACCTTGCATTACCATGTCTTTAGGTGTGATGCTAATTAGTACCACCAGGCACTTAAAGAATGAACAAAAAACTTAAATCTCAGCATTTTGATTCTATCAAAGTTTTTGAAGATGCAGTTTAAAATACAACTAAAGGCATAAAATCCATTTACTGTTGAAAAAACTTATATCCCTTTATTCAGACTGAAAAATAATAATAAAAGGGTATTGTAGAAATAATTAAGTATTTGTCAAAGCACATAGGGTCACTAATGAACTTAAAACCTAAAATTGGATAAAACCTTTGATTTTTTTTGTGACATGTTGTCTACTCTGATAAATTGTTTGTAAAAGACAATAGTAAGTATAAATATATATATTTTTAAAAGACCTACATTATGGTGGAGACCATTTGGGTTTATGAGTTGTCTGCCCCTTGCTTCCAGCTACAGGTGGCTGGTGTAGTTCACAATATGACCACTAGGGGCTATCAAAACGTTTTTCATATCCTTAATATTTTGTTAATTATAGGGGACCGATCCTGTCATAATTAAAAATACATAAAGAGATTAATAAATGACTCATCAAAAAATCCCTTGGCCAAATAACAGCTTGAAATTTTATTCCGTGACCCATTAAACGCAACAAAGGGATAAAAAACTAGTGATAGTTTTAATAATTGGGCTAATTACACTTTTTCTTAACTGTCGTATAAAACTTTTGCACTTTTATTCTTATTCTTTATTCAAACAACCAATAATCAGTCTATGTATTTCACTGGAATGTGATATTTTTCCTTGACTTTTTTATTACAAGTAGTAAATTGTTTTTTCACTTTTTTCTAACCCTTTTATTTCTTCATAAGTTTGCATAACGTATTTAAGAAAGGTTTTATAATTTTTCCACAGTTATTTTAACATCAATTTCAGTTTAACAACTGATATAGTTTTTAATCTAACATATGCCTGTATTATTTTTTTTGAAGCAACAGATTTACCTTAAAGCTACAGTGTGTAACTTTTAGCAACATCTAGCGGTCAGACTGCAGACAGCAGCAACATGAACATCTCCCCCCCCACCGCTTCTCCCCCCCAACAGTACGGCGAGCGTTACGGGACAAAATGTCTTCCACGACGTCCACATCACCTACCTTCTCAAGTGATGAGGTTTGTTTACAGTACATAGATAATTTTACAAATAGTATTTCATTAGTCTGTGCAGGGTATAGATTTCATGTAGACTTAAGATAATAAATATACCCGTTATTTCTTCTACATCGTTGTGACGTTTTGGCGATCTCGCAATCGCTAGTTTGTTGGCTCTG